ATTTGACCATAGAAGTGGTGCCGCTTCTAGCAAGAGTTTGAGGTTATCTCTTGTACATGGTCAAGAATCTAGGATGAGCACATGGCCGGTAATAGTGCTAAATGGTAATGTAGATTACAAGGATGCTATGAGTGTTTTGTGCATGAACTATTAAGTATGGTTTATGCAATGAGCCACCAATAACTTAGCTAGTTAGGTGATTTAATTTCACTACGATGTGATTTAAGATGAAAGTCACCACCTCTTAAGCGCGAGTCTCATGATTGTGTAATTATTTTATTTTACAAACTAAGTGGGGGAATGTTGGAAATTTTAGTTTGTAAAATAAAATAATTAATTTAGAATTGAAGGATACAATTAAGTTGGCAACTCTTCACATGCTTGGTGGTTATTTCCTACAAGTCAAGGGTTGTGTACTTAGTTTGTATCCTTTTATTTCTGCAAATGTTGCCTATAAATAGGTGAAGTAGTGCATGAATTCATTTAACTTTTGCATTCCAAAATCCTGAAGAACATTGAATAAGTTGCAAATTGCATGTTCTTGTATTCTTAAGTCCTAGAGGCAAATTGCCATTCAACTTTGTTTCCAATCTAGTGGGGACAAATATTGTCTTAAGGGCAGTGTTTGACACGCTTAGAACACTTTCAATTTTTTGTGAATTTTCTTTAGTTATTAAATTTCAGATTCTATCAATAAAGTTTCTTTTCTCCATCTTTGTTATTTGGTTCATATTGTGTTGCTTCATTTGTTACCACCCTAGTTTCTTTCAATCATTGCCTCAATCATTTCCAGTGAAGGGTTATGATATCATTCTAATTCTAAATAATGAAATTCGGGAAAATTTAAGGTAATCTTTAGGATGCATGACATGGGTGTATGCGTGCCCTTCCGTGACATATATAGGTAATATCTGAATATTGTAATCAATTTTTTCTTCTCAAATGAATTAAGAGTAAACTGCAATATATATATATATATATATATATATATTTGTTTTTTGGGTTACACTATTCTCTATCAATAAAATTTTATTCATACAACCATACCGCAGAAGCATTAAACATTTAAGCTTGGGTTCTAGACTCGAGTCTCTGTTTCGGAAGACTCCAAAATTTAGTTTATTAGTATTTTTAAAAAACGAAAAAAGAATGAAGAAAACATAAATCTTTTGATTGATAAAAGTTGAAAATAGAGGCCATTAATAAGTACTTAACGTCTGATACCGTACTCACAATTCTGATCGAACTACTTTTGTTTTTTTCTTTTTTGAAAAATATCGGATCGAACTATGGTACTTAGTCTATTGGTAAACGTTCTTAGTTGTGATTAGTGACCTTTTTAGTATTGTTTGTAGGATAGACTATAATAACCTATTACGAATTCTAAAAAAGATGTGGGGGACAAACTCGAGCATTTTGATGTGAGCTAAGAAATGTATGCAGATCAATATGAATAACTCCTTAATTTTTTTGATACACATAAGAAGGCCAAGGTTTAAGAGTATCATAAGTATCTAGTGTAAGTTAATAATTTCATGACAAAATCAAAGTCTCATAGTTCACTCAAACACGCTAATCCACTCACATGATACACGTCATCAAAACCAAACAATTTATCCAATAACAAATTAATTATTAACATCTTTATAAATACGGAGAAACGAAAATCCACGGAATATTTGTTCCATTGTTTTTACGTACTAGGAAACTGGAAAAACCAATTAAATCATTAGAAAACAATTAGAGATTTCGAGCAACTGTTTCTCAGGATACAACGGAAATGCGAAGACTTCTTAGTATAAAGAAACTTCGCCAGTGAACTGGAAATCAGAAAACTATGATGAACACCGAAGGCACAAAGAAAAAAAAAGACTCGGAAGAAGCTGAGAAGAGATAGGAGAACGGTGTGCTAAACTTTGAAAAATGAGTGTCTATTTATAGGCTGAAGAGAAGTTTTAAAAACTTGCTGAAACGTTGCATATTGAAGGCAAAACGTCAAAAACGTTCAGGCCATTTATACGAATTAAAACAGCAAATTCAAAGCTGAAAAAACTGCACAAAACAGTCAGGAATTAACCCCCATATTTGAGTGAATTAAACCCAATTAATGCGCCCTTTTAAACAGCATTAACACGGTCAAACAAACAATCACCTGGAATTAATTTGTGCAGAATTTGACTAAAAAATTCAATCTAAATCGGAGGCCCGCGAGAGTTCGGTTCGACATTCGTGTCCGCAGGTCGCATGCACACATGAGTCAAGCTATTTTGGCCTCGAATTGGACCCCCTGCACGAACGCACGCGAGCGGAAAATATTGAGGACAATAATGGCAAGACAACTTGTACTTCATTTTTTAGCTCTCAAATTTGTACTAAAAATAATATAAAATTCAAAACTTAATTTAAATTATTTTTTTTTGGGGCGAAGAGAGTATAATCTTTTCTGAATGCATAATTTGTTTTCTAGCGCAAGAACTGAATTAGTTGATGAATACAAAGTTAAGAAGCAAAATTCCAAAATGCTAACGACATCCGACTCGGTCAAAGAAACATTTTCCTTCGTTTTTTATTAATTTGTCTAGTGGATTCATACTAACAAATGGATTGATTTTTAGTCCTAAAAAAAGTTAAACTAAATCTGTACGAGATATGTAATTATTCTTTTGAAGATAGAGATGAGTATAATTTGTATCGTGCAGCCTAATGACAGAAAATGCCACTTAAGTATGAATAGTAGTATTATTAAATCGGAAAGAAATTTCAATAGTGACAAATTTTAGGGAAGTAGTTGGTGATGACTTTGAAGTTTGAATTCCACCCTGATTAAAAAAAAACAAAGGATTAGTTGAGAATGATTATTTTTTTCGTTGCACTTATTATCTCAAAGTGAGATTTATTAAGCAGCTTTCTGTTATACTAGGAGTAATTTTTTTGATTAGGCATTGTGAATTGTGATCGATGCAAAAACATTGTTTTTGGACCAGTTTATTTCCTTGGTTCTCGTAATTCTTTTGTAGCAAAATCAAACTTTTATGAGGGATTAGTGCAAGCAAGTAGCTAGGTGAGGAACTCATTAAATCCTAAATGATACTCTACAATAATTCTTTCAAACTTGAAAACAAACCCTTTTAGTCTGGTAAGTGTGTTAATTATGCACTATATTTTTCTTCTTAATTTGATAGATCGTACTATTATTTTTATATCCCCAATATAGTCATATACCATCATGGTTATTTAACAATAATAACAAAAAGAAAAACAAAAAAAACAAGCACCACTCGATAACTTGTCCAAATCCTGCTGCCTCAATCATTGCGTGTACATCATTGCCTCAATCATTTCCAGTGAAGGGCTCTATCATTCGAAAGCTTAAGGAAATTCGGAAAATTTAAGGTAATTTTCAGCATGACATGGGTGTATCATGTATGCATGACCCTCCATGACATATATATATATATATAGGTAATATCTGAATAATATTATCGTGTAATCATTTTTTTCCTCTCGAATGAATTAAGATGAAACTACAATTTCATTGATTTTTTGGTTATACTATTCTCTTTCAATAAAATTATATTCATATAACCATACGACAGAACCGTAAAACATTTAAGCTTTGGTTATAGACTTCTATTTCCTTTTTGGGGAGACTCCAAAACTTTTTAGTGTATTTCAGTCATATTTGTATTTTTCGAAACAAAAAAGAAAACTTGAATCGTTTGATGATAAAATTTGAAAATTGAGACCATTATTTAAGTATATAAGGTATGATACCGTATAATTCTGATCGAACTTTTTTTTTGTTCTTCTTTTTGAAAATATCGGATCGAAATACGAAACTTAGTCTATTTGGAAACGTTCTTAGTAGTGAATAGTGACCTTTTTAGTAGTGTTCGTAGGATAGAGTATAAAAGCCTATTATTACCAATAATAAAAAAGAGTGGGACAATATAAACTGAGTATTTTGATGTGACTTGTGAGCTAAGAAATATATGCACGTCATGATGAATAACTCCTTAAATTTTTTTATACGCATAAAAAGGCCAAGGTTTAAAAGTATCATAAGGGTTCCTTTTTTTAATGGTTTATTGAAATTAATTTATAAATAAATATCCCAATTAAACATAGTCTTTTACATTTTTAATATGTATTTTTATATTTTAAATATAAAAAACACTTAAAAACATATACTAAAAAACATTCAAATATATAATTTCAGGACAAAATCAAAGTGGAAACTCTCAGAGTTCACCCAAACACACTAGTCCACTCGCGTGGTACACAATCATCAAAACCCAAAAAAATTATCCAATCAAAAATTAATGATTAGAAAACGTTTGGACGTACTGACTAGACTTGTAGATACACGAAAGGAACCTCCCATATTTATTGTATTATTATTATTATCGTGATGGAATAAAAAACGACTTTCCCCTGTTTGATTCCTAAGTCAACTTATGGTGACTAGTAGAGAATTAGAGATAATAGTTGCCATCAATATTATTTACTTGAGACCAAAGTTGCTTTGCGTGCTGCGTGGCAGTCTTTATATTTCATATGAAATGTTTAGAAGTTCTATGGTACTTTCCGGGACGACATTCTGATTGACTAATTATAATACTCTAATTATCAAGACAATTATAACTGGTCTATGGAAACAAGCCGAGTTAGTGGATAACAATCAGGCTAAGGCTAATGTTCATAATATTCTTACCGTCCTTATTATAAGCCGTTTGATATTTTTCTTTTTTGAATTAAACATCTATTTAAATTTTCATCCCTATCAATATTTAAATTTTGTTGGATGTCTAAAATTGGACAATATTTTTCCTAATTCACATATTGTGTTATTCACGTTGAAAATAATATTTTCAAAATATAATTTCACATTTATTGTAATACCCGGCTAGTGTTGATTAGGATTCAACTATCAAAGAGAGAATACATTTTTGTCTACAAATAGAGACAACAATGCCACAATTAAAGTACGCTTTCAATACCTAATTAGATACATAGCTTACTTCTTCATAGCTTTGTCTGACCACCTTCCCCCTTAGACCTTCAACATATACTATATACTTATTGGAACAAAACCAAAGAGAGTTTTTTTGTATATTCAGTCAAGCCTCTGAAATTAATTTTTAGTACGATTCTTGCATTATTAGGAATCAATGGATGCAAAAAGCCTGAAACCGGCAATCGGAATAGATTTGGGCACGACTTATACATGTGTGGCTCACTGGAAAAACAATCGAGTTGAGATTATAGTCAACGACCAAGGCAACCGAACTACGCCTTCTTATGTTGCTTTTACTGATAATGAACGCCTTATTGGTGATGCCGCTTACAACCAGGCTGCCCTCAATCCCATCAACACCGTCTTCGGTACACAAAAACTTCTTAATCCTCTTAATTTGTTGTTCCTTCCCTTGATTTCTTTCTCTCTTTTTTTCAATCTTTTGTAGTTTTCGTTTTTATTGTTTCTGTAAAATTACACTCCTCAATATGCATCTTCTATGCATGATGCATGAAACAGGAAAAGCTTCTGTTTTTTCTTTTTTCCCTTTTTTTAGAAACTTTTCTATCACGTACGGATCAGTTGTGATTCATAACAGTTTTACTGTACAGGAATTTCATAAGGAAAAAATATAGCAACTGGGGATTTTCATGACATTTTACTCTTCCTCAGTTGGATTATACAAACAATAGAAAAATAAAATAAAATTAATATCTCTAGAACTGTCTATACATGGATTTCATTTGAGATAAGAAAATCATGTCTAATAATATCTTTATCGATTTTTATTTGTTTGTAGATGCAAAGAGACTGATCGGTAGGAAATTCCGGGATGAGTCAGTACAAAGTGACATAAAACTTTGGCCATTCAAAGTCACATCTAACTCAGATGATCGGCCGGTTATTGTTGTCGCAAGCAAAGGTGAGAAGAAACAATTTGCACCAGAAGAGATTTCTGCGATGGTTCTTCTAAAGATGAAACAGATTGCTGAAACGTACATCGGGTCAACCGTGGAGGATGCTGTCGTCACGGTCCCGGCCTACTTCAACGGTGCTCAACGTCAAGCTACCCGCGATGCCGGGGCCATTGCCGGCCTGAATATTCTTCGTATCATTAGTGAACCAACAGCTGCGGCCATTGCTTATGGTCTCAGCAATGACTCTGGCACCCCGGGGATGAGAAATGTGCTTGTTTTCGATCTTGGTGGTGGCACTTTTGATGTCTCCATTGTCAAAATCAAAGCGGGCAATTTCGAAGTTAAGGCCACTGCGGGTGATACTCACCTTGGTGGTGAGGATTTTGATAACCGAATGGTGAAATATTATGTTGATGAGTTTAAAAAGAAGCACAATAAGGATATCAGTTCAAATCCTAAAGCAATCAGAAGATTGAGAACAGCTTGCGAGAAGGCCAAGAGAATCCTTTCATCTTCAGGGGAGACAAGGATTGATGTCGATGCCTTATTCAAAGGAATTGACTTTTCGGCTAAAGTTACTAGGCCAAAATTTGAGGAGCTAAACGGAGATTTGTTTAAGAAATGCATGGAGACTGTGGAAAAGTGTTTGGTCGATGCTCAAATGAATAAGAACGCGGTGGATGATATTGTTATGGTCGGTGGTTCAAGCAGGATTCCTAAAGTCCAACAAATGTTGCGAGAATTATTCAATGGGAAAGAGCTCTGCAAGAACATTAACCCGGATGAAGCGGTTGCTTATGGTGCCGCGATTCAGGCCTCGATCTTAAGCGGCCAAACAAGCAATGACATGCTTAAAGTTCCTCATCGGGATCTTGCCCTGGTGGAAGTAACTCCGTTATCTCTTGGTGTCGTTAGCAGGGGACACGACATGTCGATTATCATCCCGCGGAACACCCCTATCCCTACAAAGATGAACAAAAGCTACACAACTGTTTATGATGATCAGCCTGCGGTTGAAATTCAAGTGTTGGAAGGCGAGCGAGCGAATCCGAAGGACAATAATTTGTTAGGGACATTTAAGCTTGACCTAACTCCAGCGCCTAGGGGAGTTCCTAAGCTTGACATTTGCTTTAGTATGGATGCCAATGGCATTTTGAATGTCACTGCCCAAGATGAAACTTCAGGCAAGGAGAAGAGCATACGCGTAACGAGCGGGAGATTATCGAGCCAGGATATTGAGAGGATGATCAAAGAAGCTCAAAAGTTCAAGGTTGAGGATGAAGAATACAGAAAGAAGACTGCGGCCAAGGTTGACCTTGAGAATTATATGCTCAACTTGAAAGATGCCGTAAAGTTTAGTCATTCAAGTTTGGCTTACAAAAGGAAAATTGAAGAAGTCCAGCAATGGTTGAATGTTAATCAGCTCGCCCAGGTTCATGAATTCGAAAAGAAGAAAGATGAGCTAGCTCGGTTCTGTAGCCAAGTGCTGTAACCATGAAAATTGTTGTGCGAAAAAGGAAGCACAATTGGCATTTGGTTACATAAGATTTTGTTTTTTGTGACATTTTTTTGCTTAATTGTCGTTCCCCTTGAGCCGTGGTCATTTCTAGTTGAGTTAATTTATGATTCAACTTCACGGAGCTGCAAAAGGAAGAACCAACTAGATGTGTATTGCTTAATTGTCGTTCCCCTAACCCTTATGGATAACATTAAATTGGTGTGCTTGAGATTTGACTTGAAAAATTCTTCCTCATGGATGTGTATAAAAAAGAACCAAACGCATTAAAATAACTGCATTATTGGGCATTATTTACACAATGAAAAGGAAAAGAAGAAGCAAACCTTTATCAACAGAATACACTTAATACAGTTGCTATGATGCTGATTACACACTTCTACACCGAGTTGGCTACCATTCCTCGCATCTGCTGCTGAGCTCTGTAAGTCCGATGCCTCCTTGGCTTCGCAAACATTTCACCACCACACCTCCTTATCAATCGAAGCGTGTTTCCAATGAGCAAAAGCAACATCACGCCACACCAAATCATAACAGAAGTTCTAATAACTTGGCTCAATTGCTTCTTATCACTCTGTGGAGTAACCATAACAATTGATATACCGTAAGTTAAAGCTATGGCGGTAATCGACAACCACATGATCACCATCAGAGCCCACATGAAGAATCTGTTCCTCAATGGCAAACCACTGATGAGGAACAGAATTGTGCTGAGGGATAAAACAAAGGCCACCGTATTACTCCTGACCGAATTCTTGTAATATGTTGGGTGCTTGTGTGCCATCACTGCTACCCCTGCAACATGCGGATCCGATCCATTTTGATCATCATCTTGCCAAACTCCACCTGCCGGGTTTACGGCTGCTTGGAACGCCATTGTCGCTATGAGTGAGGCAACTACCATAATTGCATCCTTTTTCTTAGATAGCCAATCGTTGCTCCCCTGTCCTGCTGATCTCCTGAAATCTTCCTGTAGTCCATTTTCAGCTTCTGCCATGGCTAAGTCAATATCTATGCCTCTTACGGCTCCAGCGAGTGCAAGAATTTGTGGAATTCTTGTATTCCTGCCATCTCCAAGAGAAAGGTCTAATGGGGTGCTTCCATTTGCATTCTTTAAATTCACTTGTACAGCGTTGTTTCGAACCAGGTATTCAATAGTCTGCATATTTTCATCAATCAATTGTTGATGGATGTAACTAAATTAAGGGGAAGAGTGAGTCACAAATTTTGTCCTAATCTTACCTCAATCTGGTTATCGCAAACGGCGAGATGTAGTATGGTCATCCCATCATCATCCTTCCTGTTAATAAAATCATCATCTTGAACTCCCTCCAGCAAGAACTTCAGAGTATTCAGCTGATTATACTTGATGCAAAGATGCAAAGAATTTCCTCCGCCATCAATCTTTTCTCGAGCCGCAAGTGGCTTAGCACGAACTAACTCTTGCACAACAGGCGACTTCCCCTTGATGATTGCGAGATGTAAAGGGATTCTTCCAAATCGATCGCCAGCCAAACACAAATCAGGACTGATACTTATAACTGCTCTTACGAATTCCACATTACCAAACATTGCAGCAACATGGAGAGGATTTTTGTCCTGACAATTCAGCGTGGTTTTGTCAAGAATAAGTAAATCTTCTCCAAGTAACTGATCAAGAGTGGCAACATCGTTTCTAACAGCAGCATCAAAGAGAACTTTCTCCATCTTTTTTCTGGTCTGCACTCCTTCGATTCTCTCCCCTCAACTCAATCGTTTGTCAAAAGCAAATACCACTTGTAAATGGGACAAAATGCTTCAACATTACTGGCCTTAAATGCATAAATGTATATATATTGTGTTCTTTCGTTTACAGTTGACTTCGTTAGCTTCACTTTTTTATATTGAATTCGAATGACTTATTATGGTTTTCTACTGGCAAACAGGAAAGGGAAAAAAGTCAATGGTCACTGGAGACGTAGAAAATCTGTTGTAACCAGCGAATGCGAGTTTTTCCTGACCGGAAAGAGCTACCAAGATAGGAAACCGCAAGCAGCTTCACAGAATCTCGGTGGGCTGAAAATTTTAAATACTGTCTGAGATTTATTAGAAAAGTTTTGAAGTTTCAGGGAAAGGGAATTCAGATGATCCTGTCAGAAACCACTGGTTAATTTTATTGCACAACAATTAGTACACTAATACGAAGTTAATATGCAACATGCCAAGTTGCCAACAAACGACACAGGAATGCTTCAACTCAGTCAAAAGCCACACAATTTCTCGAAATCGCCACAAATTCATCGGGAGTAATTTGGAACTTCTTATGTGCTAAAATGACTGTCTCTTTTAGAATTTAATTTTAATATAGTTTTTACAAATAATAATAAAAAACCTTAACCTGATAATTATTTTGGGAGAGAGTATAATATGAAAAGTAACGAGCCACATAATCCTCTCTTCGTATCTAATTTGTCCTGTCTTGGTTTATTATTTTCTTGCAAATTCATATGGAACGACACTCATAAGTTATAATTCAGGAAGTAATTCATGTGGAGTAAAATTTATAGCGTGCAGCCTCACAATGTAAAAGAAAATTTTAATTTCGCAGTTTGCATCATAAATAGAATCGAATAATAGTAATGCATATCAAACTTTTGTCACTAATGACATTACATATGCAGTTGGTTCTGACTTTCAAGTTAGAAATCTTAAATATCTATATATTTATATACAGTATTTTACAAGTTGTATGCCCGAGCGTTGCTCGAGTAAATATAACTTTTAATATTACCATAGCGAAAAGTTCTTAAACAAAATTATATGAATAAAAAATGAAAATAGTAAGAATCTAAATGAATACTATAAGACACGAATCAGTTTTCATGTTCATAATAGCATTACGAAAAAATTCTTAAACAAAGTTACATGAATAAAAAAATGAAATAGTAAGCATTTGAATGAATACTATGAAACACGAATCAATTTCATGCTCATAATACCATCATGAAAGATTCTAAAACAAAGTTAAAAATATAGTAAAAAATAAAATAGTTAGCATTTGAATGAATACTCTGAGACATGAATGGAGAGTGTGCATATCGAACCTATATTCAACAACGAAGCTAATGGAGAGTGTAGGTGAATGAATGGAAGAGAGTTCCATTTAAATAGTAATCAGAATCTGTCAAATTATATTGGTTGTGGTTAGTGTATTTTTGAATGCACAATCTATATATATTAATACAGGATGAAAATATTTTATTTCGCATGAAATTGGAAACTCACTTAAGTTCAAAAAAAAAAAAAAAGATTTAACTATAATTACAGTGCATCTTAACCATAAAAGATAACTTTATTTTAACTTTTTGCAACAACCTTTTAAAATAAGTAATCTGACAATCAAAGTTCAAATAGAGTTCAAGTTATCCTAGATTACTCATATCCTAAATCGATGCACGTGATTTGTTAAACATTTTTCTATTTAAACTCCATGACAGTGAACAATTCAAAACAATCAGATATGTCTCTGTCTCATTTTCCTTTAAAGCTTTTGTTCCTTCGGTAGAGTTTTTTTTTTATTCAACGGATTGCTTTTATACATTTTTTTTATTTAATACGGATTTATGTTCAATGTAAACACTCTCAATGGATGTGGAGTACTTGTGCATAGTGCCAGAAAAATATTACCGACAATGGTTTGGTAATAATCTCGACCATAATTTTTTTTTTTTTAATGTTACACTGGATTGAAGAATCACTTATTTATGATTTTTTATTTTCGCAAACACTTTTGAGTCGTCTATCATCATTATTTAGAGGAAATCCACGAGGTTATATCTATCTCCGCACTGATTTTGGAGATTTATATGTAAATTTTCGTATCACCCGCAAGGTTGAGAACATTTTTATGGTGATAGGTTTTTGAAATTTATTCGTAGCATCAATCTCATTCGCGGTGCAAAAGTTCCCGTCGTAGTTGTTGAATAGTATATCATGAAATTCATCGTTTATGATCGAGGAGAGTGTGAGAATTTTGATGTTTGCCGTCAACCTATTTGTCCAAAAGTTTTAATGAATAGTGATTTTTTTAACAAAAAAAAATTATAAACCGAACCATTAATTTTTATCTTACAAAACAAGTTTTTAACATATATTTTTTTCATAATCTCCGTGCAACACATGGGTTACACACTAGTAAATAGTATTTGGTCATTATTGCATAATAATGATTTTTTGGGAAAAAATTCTTTCAATTAACATATATTTTTATTATTTCATAATAATGATCGTTCAGGAAAAAAAAATCATTTCAGCCATATACATTCCATAATTTGTACGAATAATGATTAGTATTCGCTAATTTTGTTTATTATTAAATAAATATTTCTTAATTTTGATCAATATTAAATTTTGGACGTGATTAGTGTATTTCGTAATTCTGATCATCATTAGATGTATAATATTACTTAGAGTGAACCTCAAAATGGGTCATTGAACTCTTAGGTAATTCTAATACAGGTCATCAATCAAATTTAACAGGTCACCTTACTAAGCAAAAAATTCATCCGAGATCATTCTGTTAATTTTGGTCATTAAATAGTGACGGAAATCCATTTTTCATATGCTTTTGGGTTCAAGAGTATTTTCATTTTGTTATTTTTAAATTTTTATTTTTTTGAAAAAAATTATTTTTTTTTAATTTTTATTCTTTTACAATTCTTCTTCTTATACTTCCTAAAATGTATATGCTGGTAGTATAATTTCTAAATTTTAAAAATTAATTTAAATTTTGTATTTTAACTTCTTGATTATAAAATTAATTTACAAATTATAAAGATTCCTCTATTTTCCTCAATTCCTTATCATCAAAATTGAAAACTAAAAACAAAAAATAACATTTATTATGATCATCCTCACGTTAATTAATACAATCTTTAATTAACTTTAATAATCCGTGTTATCAAGTTTGTTCTATTAGATTTCATTTAATTCCTTAATTAGTTCTTTCTTTGTTTTTTTTTTCTACAGATGACGTGCGACACATGGGGCAAGTACTAGTTAGGATAAACTTATAATATTTAAGAAATTAAAAATTTTAAGGAGTACTAATGATAAGCCTAACGATGAGCGTCACATACTATTTTGTCTTTTTTGTCTCAATTATTTGTATTTGTGAATTTATCAATGGAATAAAAAGGATTTGTGTGCTTCTGCAAGACCTTTTTTTCACTAATTCTTGATTAATTTTAGTTTTATTTCTGGGGAAAAAAGGTAGGTTTCTTTTCTTTTTTTCCTTGCGATAATGTCATTGAATTAAAGGATAACTCAGACTATGATATTTTCCATTCTAGTGATTCAGTTCTTCTTGGTTTTGAAACTGAGAGCATTTGTCTTTGGGATTGGATTTCCTTTCATGAACATGATTGAGGCACAAATCCATTAATATTGTGAAGTGAAAACCCAATTTTTCCTTAGTTTGATTCTTCCTTCCCTGAGAAAATCTCAATGTTGAGAACCATTAATATTTATTTCGTTATTTTCCCCTCTTTTTTTCTTTCTTTTTTTGTTTTTGTTTTTATGCATGCGTGATCGAATTTCAGAGTTACTTTAAATAGTTTTTTTTTTTCTTTTCCTCTTCTGATTTATCTTATCTCCTCACCTTCATGAGCTGCACTTTAGGGATCGATCCTATTCGGGAAAGTCCACCTAAAGAGTCTTCCCCTATTCATAGTTAAAACTGGGTGGGATCCTGATTACGGAAGTGTACATCCTTTTGTTTGTGGCATGTACACACAACAAGAAGGCAATGTTAACTCTGATTCTTATCGTGGCAGTACTCATCATTATGGCATCGATTGTTGCTCCGGTTCCCATCCAGGTTGACTCCGCTAAGCTCAAGTCTACTATTTGTGGCTGGTTCTATGTGTCCTTGGTGTTAGTCATGGTCAAGTGTTGAAGCAATGCCATTCTGGCGTACAGTGCTCACTTTTGCTAATGGGATTTGTTGGACTCTATATTCATTCCTCCACAATTTTGAAATATTTGTCTTCATAATATTTTCTACTTCATTTTTTCATTAATATATTTCATTCATTTTCTAGATTCTTCAACTTAAATTTTTTTAATTTTTTGTTTTGTTCCTAAATCTTTGGAATTGATGTAGTTATCTAATGTACCTGGAGCAATCAACTCGTGATATATTGGATCATGAACTGAGTGCCAAAACAGTCAAACAAGGAATACAAAAGCCCAAGTGAAGAAAGTGGCCCAAGGAATAATATTCTATGACTTTGTGCTTAATAAAAGTTTTGACGTTGTGTTTCAAAGTTGAACTAGAAACCAAGAACAGCTCAACATGAAATGACGGTTAAAGCGGGTATAAAATTAGAGTCTTTGAATCTAATCTAAGTTAATGTTCTTTATGTTAAATTTATGTGAAACTTAGTTAATGTTAAAATTTGTTGGATGCAAAATCTTTAATTAATGTTCATCATCATATCAATTCATTTTGATGTATCCCCTTTTTCAACAATTTCTAAACACTCAACTATCACTATAGTAGCTCATATTAGTATACTTGAAATATCAAGTTTTATAATTAAACTACACCAATTAGAGTGGTTTTTCAATACTTATTAATGCTAATATTTTTTTAATCCTAAAATAAATTTAACCATCAATATCTACAATCATCTTCATGTTTAATGGAATTTTCACGACTCAGGAAATTCTTTTTATATTCATTGATTATATTTCCATTATTAATATAAATTTTTTTTTTTACATTTTAAATCAGTCGAGTTCAT